TGGCCACGACGGAGGGTTAGGTTAGGTTAGGTTAGGTTAGGTTAGGTTAGGTTAGGTTAGGTTAGGTTGGGTTAGCCTATCTTGATGCTTTCGTCGTGCACAATTGTGTTGCATTTAAGCATATCGAGCGACCTAGACGAGCCCGAGTGCCCGGACTGCCTTGGTCAGGGAAATCAGGGTCATCTCCCCGGGTACCTGATTCATTGTCAGCTCACAAAACTGTCAATTTCAGACGAATAAATCGCGATAGTCGAAAACTTCTAATTCTGACAGAAATGGCTAGTTCTGAAGGTTCTGTTGTAAAAAGACAAATTTTAACTACGTAAGAATTCTTTTATTTTCAATTTTGTCTACAACACACTTCTGAATCCTTGTAGGCATATCACCGGTGTCATTTCTCCAGATAGTTTTCTTGAGCAATGCCTCAACAGTGCCCCTGCTAGGTCGTATGTTCGCACGTACGAAATCTTCCGCGAAGTGACTTGCAGCTTGATTTCTAAACTTGTCCCTCCACCAACTTGCTATCTGATTGAAGGCAGTGTCCGTCAGTGGGCAGAAATTGATATCTTCTGTCATCCAAACCTCGTCTAACTTTGAGCTTAGGGCTTCTTTCGGAGGGAATTTGTCTGAAACAAAGATGTAATCGTTAGTAAACTATTCTGTCAAATCTAGACATAAACGTCTTAAAAAAGATAAATTTACCTTTGCAGTTTTCAGGAAGAAAATTTCCGTTTTTGACTATTTCACATGCTAAAACCTGAGACAAGATGGACTCAACCCTCTTCGCCTCACTAATTAAAGCTGCATTTGACTTGAATCTGTAGTATGTATCTGCAACTCTCGTAGAATGACAAAGATATGATGCAACTTCTTGCCTATTCTGGACACTGTTCTCTTCAATGACATAGCAATTAGTCTCAATAGTCTTCCTGACCATGTTAAATGTTATCGGATAGCCAAGAATTTTTATGATGGGATTCAGCAAATTAGTGGCAGGCCTGCCCGTGGTTGTCACTAGGAGTTCGTTGCCCATGTCAAGATTTTGACGAATTTCGGCAAATTGTCTAAAGATTGCATACTGTGTCTCCTTCAGAGCAACAACGGCGTGTCCTTTCCAGTTAGCGGTCTTATTGCAAGCTATCCTTAGGATAAAAGTCCCACTATGCTTGCACGCAGTGTATATCTCGCCTGTTTTCAGACCGAGAGCAGTCCATAGTCTTGCGCCCTGCAGCATCAGAAAAACCCCTAAGACACAAGTTACAACTTTCCAGTGCTCCTCAAACGGCTCAGGAATACGTTTTGAGTTGCGTGGAATTTGTGATAAAATTCGAAGTCTCCGTCTTATATCAAAGTCTTGGTTCAACTTATTGAGTGCGACAACAATGTCTAAAATAGACGTTTCTGTCTCTACTTCAGAATTCAATTTTCTTCTTTGGTCAATTCTAGCTCTCTTCTCGTAATCATTCTTGAAAGCTACCCAGAACCTTAAAATCTTCTTAATAGTAGGCTTCGGAATAAGACTGTTCAACTTGAATGCTGGATGGTTGTAGGCTAACTGGAGAACAGATATCATCGCGGCCGCGTTATTTTTTAACGTATTCGGTGCCATTATATTTGAGATAAGTTCTTGATATTTACAGACTGCTTCAGAGCTTGTCATCCCCGTAATTTCGTCATAAGTTGACAAAAATGTCTGGGCAAAATTTATGAATCGATGCATATACTTCGCGTGTGCAAAAATGGTCTTTTCTTGCAAAACTCCGCGAGTTTTTTCAAAATCGACGTATAAACGAGCGGTTTCACACAAATCAGACGCATCAACCTCTGGGGCTATTCCTGCTTTGATAAGTAGCTGCCGCGTGATCCCCCTTCCTTGTTGTACAGATTTGACGTTAGCGTTCTTGGGCTCAGTCTCACCTTCAAAATCTTGAACATCGATCAAGTGGGCATTCAGTACTTTCTTGACAACTTCCCGGTGAGATTGTGATGCTGCCGATGCGCCCATGGCTGTAGAAACACGAGCTAGGGTCGTAGTACGCCATCCTTGCTTGCTGAGATTCTGGGCGTCAGATATAAAAGCCTGAAGGTGTTCCGGTCCGATTCCGTGCACGCTCCCAGCGTGGCTTCTAAGCAGGCAGAGGCGCGATGAAACATAGCCACAAAGGAGTTCCGGGCACCGAAACGCAGACTTCTGTTAAATGAGAAAAATCCATTTAGTATAGATAGATTTGTCAAATATAGATATTGTTGTCAAACAATTACCGGGTTATACCATTTTAGACATTTTCGTCATCGCTGATCTTAACGAGAACGTGCTGAAATGCCCTCTTAATAATATCGAAAGCTTGGGCATTTGAGACGGTGGCAGTCTCTGCGCATATGGAGCTGACAATGGCGTTCACTCTTTCAAACGAAATTCGTCTCATGCTACTTTTTGATCTCCAGTACATCATGTTCGTTATCTTGGCACGACCCTTTTCTTTTAGATCTTTATCGTGATAGCGCTCAATATGCTTTCTTAATTTCGCGGGCCAACGACTATGATGAGAGCAAATAGGGCAGCATTCTATTTTCTGGAATCAGTAATGATCTACTTTGACGAAAATGTCTAAAAAAGACAACCTTTCAAAAAACGTGATGTCTGTTACATACCTGGTGCATGTCAATCTGACGTTCGGTGGCTGATGGCTTCTTCCCTCCTACACTCTCAGGCCAGCCGATGATCTCCTCACATTTCTCTTCATGCTGAAACAAACATTAAGATTAGGCATGGTGTCAAAAATTGACATAAACGTTGCTAATAAAGTAAATTACCTCTATGTCAACCGGACTATCTGGCATATTCTTGGTGTTCGATCCTTGACGTGGCCACTTGGTCTTTAAAACGGATTGCTCGTCGTACAAAATTGAATTACTTCCGTCACTTTCCTGCGAAAACAAAAAGAGTTAAAAATTGACAACAACATCTACATTAGACAAAACTGTTTGCACGTGGTAATGGACAAATCTTTTTACTTACATCTCTAAGTAAAACATTTTCCTTAGATCTATCGAACGTTGGTGACTTCTTGAAGAAGGATGTCACTTGTTCCTCCTCCTCATCACTACTTGAACCCAGCACAACAGGCTAGAGTGGTAACAAAAGTAAAAATGGGGAGGTTAGGTTGGTCACGTCTTTTCAGATACAAACGAATATACAAGATGTGAAAACCGTACCTCTTCGTTCAAAATCGTTCCCTTATCCCCTTTTCGCCGCGTACTGATTGACTCATCATAGACCTGAAAATACAACAAGAATGAGAACATAACCTCACTATACCCTTACCTAAAACGTCCCTCACAGAACACCTAAAATAAACTAAATGGGACGATAATTACTTACATGTGTTAAGTCCTTTCCGTTTTCCGATCCCGAAGACACAGCATCGAATGACATTCTCACAAAGTGTAAGCCGATGCTGACGGATTTGCATCTGAGATAAGACTGGGCAATAAAACACAGGGTACAGCTCGGGGTAATAATTCGGAACACTTCCGGTGTTTCCGGCCGCTGCGCTGTCTTCCGTCTGTGACGGGTTCTCTGCCGCGGTCTTTTCCGAGGCAGAGACGGAAGGCAGTGCTGCGCCCTCTCGTAAAACGACGGAGCATCCCGGCTCGGGTAGGCGAAGGGAGGGGGAACCGCTCGGCAGCGGCGCTCGCCGCCCTTCGCGCGAGCCGGCGGCCGGGAGCTCAGTCTCGACCAGGCAGCCGGACCGCGCGGACGCACCTCGCCACACTCTCGCTCCCGCGCCGCGCAGCACGTAAACAGTCAAATACACCAACTTGTGATTCCGGCGGGAACATCGGTCCTAGATGGAGTCCAAATCTGAAGAGAAAGGCGATTCCAATCCAGAGGCGCCCAATGTAAGTACAGCAGCTCTTGACAAAGATGTTCATTTTAATAGCGATTTATTTTCTGTACCAAGCGGACTTGGAGTGTTGACATTGTTAGTTTTCGACGCCTTGGTCTAAGGCTGCGTTGTCTGTTTTAGACATTTATGACTGATTTGTACCGATTCTGTCCGTGAGCTCTTTGCGTTCCGCCGACAGTGATTTGACCGTATTTACTTTGAATCAGGCCGTATGGCCTGCTCAGTGGTGCCGGCGCAATTTGACACTGTGCTGTCTATTTTAGACATTTCCGTCTATGATCGAAAACAGAGCACGTGAGTGCTGCGCTGTGTCAGGTTCTCCGCATACGGTGCGTGCGCAGTGTGTCCCGACGTTACCGTGGACTTTGTGCGTTCCGCTCGCGTCGATTTGACGGTGATTCCTTCCGATTGGGCCGTAGGGTGTTCGCGGCGGTTCGCGGACGTGTCTGGGCTAGGTTAGGTTAGGTTAGGTTAGGTTAGGTTAGGTTA